GGTCGCTATGAATCGGATACAACTTGATGGCAGTGGTTTTGGTTTGGTTTGGTGTATTCACCACTCATTAAACAAATAATTATTATTATTATTACTGTCTGTCTGGCATTGGGCTAGGTGCTAGATATATGGTGGTAAACACCGTACCATGAGTATGAGACAGGGGAAATAAAAAAACAACCCAGAATAGCAGGAAATGAATTATCCTACACATACACAAAAAATTATTATTGGAAAAACAAAACACAGTCCTTGAACTTCAGCTTTCAAAAAGTTTAGCATTCCTTATATTAAAAGCAGCATTTTTTATCCTGTAACAAGTCTTCCCCAAAATAAGACTATTAAAATAAAAATGTTGATATTCTGAATTAATTGAAAGATCTGAAGAAAAGGGAAAAGCAGCATTCTGTATTTATGGAATTTTTTCCCTTGAAGTCCTCATAGCAGCACTAGGAAACAAACATTACATCTTTGGGGAGGGAAAGATAGGGGTAAATTAAGGGTGTGGAGGGACAATTCTGAAAGAAGACAAAATTTTAAACATATTCAAAATCTATAACAGAACTTTTAATAGTACTCAATACCTTAGGCTTGTGGCTTTTAAAAATAGCTATTTACAGTTATCTTAAATGTACCCAGTTAACTGCTGTTAGCAGCTACAGAAGGCTTCCTGTCAGTTTATGGGTTGTAAAGTCAGTTTATAGAGATTGCTTGAATAAGGATCAGGAGAGAGAAGAGAAAAGGGAGAAGAAAGACATTCCTTTCCTTCCTTTTTTTTAAAGTATATTTGGTGAAAGTATACACAGCAAAACAGTTTCTTACTCAACAATCTTTACACACAATGCTTAGTGACATTGGTTACAGTCTTCAGTTTTTATCAACATTCTCATTATTCCTGTTTTAGTTGTTCCACTTCCATTAATTTAGTCTGTCTTCCAAACGTCCCATTTCCCCAACAAAGTTATAAGCCATCTGAAGGCAGCCAATATATGCTCAATAGTGCTTACATACTATGAAACATAATACATGAACACAATAAATATTTTGTAGATTAAATTAACAGCTTAATACAGAGGGTTTAAAGAAATACATTGTATGTTTAAACCAATGGAGGTAATCAATCCCTCTTCAAGAAAGTTATTTATCTGAAGAATGATTCCCAGGAGGGAAAACTACTTTTATATATACTACTTTTATTTACCTACTTTAAGTTATACCCAAGAGTGAGAAGAAATAAAGAGAATAATTCTGACCCCAATGGAATTCTTCTGAACAGGTTACCAGAAAACTCTCATAATAATCTGTTATCCCACAAAGACGAAGCTGGGGCGAATCTGCCATAGTGATCCAGAATCTGAGCTAGGTGCCAATACATTTGAATTCAGACTTTTCCAGGAAAGAAAATTGCTTTAACATTTTTGGAGGCTGAAAAATGGAGTAGTTTCTAATTAGTCCATCTGTCTGAAAAATGCATAGAGGAAATACTTCATTATATAAAAGAAAAGCTGGACTACATTAGAAATCAGTATGAAGATGAACATTGTAATTTTTCTTATCACACTAAGAGAACAGCAATTGTGCCATTTATTCTAACTCTTGACTTTGTTAAGCTGAGAATCTATAAAAAAGCAGGTCTTTGGTTAAATTAGATCATAGTTCAGATATAACTAAGGTACAGGTTGGGCAATCCTACTTCCGTAGTGACACTGCCTCGAAAACCCAAGGAGGGGTCGCTATGAGTCAGGGCTGACTCAGGGCAAATAACAACAACAACAACAATGAATACAATGTAAGGTCAAAGTAGGGGTTAAAAATGTGAATAATTACAAGGGAAAGACAAAATAAACGAAATAAATGAATGTTATTTCCTGAGAGGTGGTGCAGGGTAAAGCAGAGAACATAACTCTTAGTCTAGAGTGCTACCTGACTGTTGCCATGTGGGTCCAGTATTGCCAAGTTCTCCTCCAACTTTTTAATGCAACTAATCAGAAGTAAAATATAAGTGTAGATGATAAAGACAGACTCACAGGATTGCAAGGAAGAACATTAAGGTGACAAAGAATTTGAGTGTTAGGTAGAATATTTACATAAAGGAGGAAGATGTGGTCAAAATATTAAGAAAGAAAGACAACACTGGCTTTACTACAATGATGAAACCATGGAACTCTTTCACTTGCAACCAAACCAGAAGGGGAAATAGAAGATCCATGAGACTACTGTATAAACCATGAAGGCCAACTACTTCTTTATTATTAATTCTGGGCCCAGATCAAATATCAAAGTATTGAAGCATTAATCACTCATTTCCACCTCATCATTCTAAAATATGGATATAATTTCTTTCACAATATTGCAGTGATATTAATGGTTAATTTCCCAAATGCTGAATAACTTGTCCAAAACAGTTACCATCTGGAAGCAAGACCATTTATTGGCTTCATGTTACTCTGTCATTTAAAAATGGACAAAGTCAATATCCTGTGAATTATTACTTGACTGCCTCTGTTGCCTATAGTTGTTTTTCAGGGTACAGGTCAGTTAGAAAGGTAAGTTGTTTTGTTTTTATGTAATCATATGTGCATATTGGTAAATACCAATTAGTTTTATAAGCCTGAGACAGGTGTAGCACCCTTGTCCATCTTGACTCCAATACTATCACATCACTTAACATATAAATGAAGCCTACCCTAAGATCAATGACTCTGTTGTCTAGTCTCGTGTCCTGGTTAACAGTAGCTCTTCCTTCCTAAAAAAAAAGATGAAAAAACAGATTTCGTGAATTTTTTTAAAATACTATAAAAACACTTTTAGAAGACATGTTTACTTATAAGTGAGAATGGAGGGGAGGGTGTTAATACTATGCCCTTTCAAATTACTTATAATTAACTTAATCTTTAATTAGTACACTGCCTCAGAAACCCAAGGAAGGGTCACTGTGAGTCAGTTGGATTTGACTCAACAGTTGTGAGTTTGATTTTGGTTTTGGTTTAGTATACCTCAGGATTCCTGCCTCAAGATGAGGGATCCAAGGTAGTGGTAACAACAATGGAAAAAGCAGAGCCAGAAAGAAGTTATTGTTAAGAGAGAGTGAGAGATGTAAGGAAGAAAACAAAACAGGGTAATCAACTTACATCAACACTACCAAGAGCCTTTCCTCACTACGGGGACATCAGAGTATTAACCATTTGCATCTTTATTGATTTCTGGATTCTACTTGCTAGAGTCAGGTTGATAAGGAACCCTGGTGGTACAGTGGTTCAGCATTCAGCTGCTAACTGAAGGTCAGTAGTTCGAACCCACCAGGTGCTCCAAGGTAGAAAGATCTGCTTCCATAAAGATTAAAGCCTTAGCCATTCCTCAGAAGGAAGATGGGGCAATCTACTTCCGTAGTGATACTGCCTTGGAAACCCAAGGAGGGGTCACTATGAGTTGGGTTCGACTCAACGGCACATAACAACAACAACAACAATCCTATGAGGCAGTTCTTTTTTGTCCTGTAGGGTTGCTATGAGTTGAAATCAACTCCACAACACATAACAAGGCCAGCTTGAAGTAACAGATAACATCTGATATGGAGTAGCAGTTCTCAAAGTGTGGTCTGGGAAACCCAGATGGTCCCTGAGATCCTTTCAGCAAGTCTATTAAGTCTGATCTATTTCACAGTAACAATTTTCACTCCTAATCTCTCAAGAGTACTAAAGAGTTTTTCAGAGGCTATATGATGTGTGATATCACAATGGAATAACTGCAGATATGAGAATCTAGTTGTTGTCTATTCAATGACACATTACAGAGATTTGTAGAAATATGTAATGAGGAACAATGCTATTGTTGACACAGAATTATTTTTTGTTTTGGATAACAGTTATTTTTCATAAACATGCTATTTATTGTTATTTTCTTTGTTTATATAAGAGTAATATATATATTTATATTGTTTTTTAATTAAATATTTTGAAAATTTATCATTTTTGATTTCTGATACTGTACTGTGACTATCACTGAGACCAGACTTTGAGAAATGCTGATATAACAGTGAATTTAGATAAAAATGAAACTCAAAACATTTCATAGGCACCCTTAGTACAAAAAAGCAGGACATCAGGTTTTCCATGTTTTGTGAACTAATAATAAGCACAGTCTTTCAAGGGTATAATTTTCACCTCTTCTCCTTCTCCTTCAGGCCGAACGGCATCATCTAGCTGCAAGGGCAGGCGGGGTTCAGCCAAACTGATCACATAAATCTGAAAGTGAGATATTGACAAAAATAGTATGAAACCCATAAAATTTGATATATTTTGATTAAAAAACACTCTGCAGTTAACTTAAATGTGAAGCATTAATTAAAAACATTTCTACATAGAATTACTTGCCCAAATCAAATAAAATAGCACACATTTTTTATCTATAAAATTAAAATAGTATTTCTTGAGCCCACTTCTCTGAGTTGTTAGAACAGTCAAATAACATACATACAATGGTTTGTAAACTCTAAGGTACATACAAATGTAATAAGTAAGAAGGAGCACTGGGGTCAAAGGTCTGGGTTTAAGGCTCTGCTCTGTCATATAAAAGCTGTCCTGAGGCAAATACTTAACCTCAGAGCATCAATGTTCTACTCTGTAAAATGAGATCTGCTATAAGAATCAAAGGGAGTAATGGATGTGAAAACACTGTGCTAATTTGAAGGGGCCATTAACATGTGAGTTATTATTGGTAACAGCATTTGGCCATTTCTAGCACTAGGACCAAATTCAATCCAACTCTACTACACCTGTTCTTCTTTTTCTCATTCTTTTTCTAAATATCCCTTCATTGTCTTCCCTCATCAATCATGTTACATCTCATTTCTCTTGGTTGGGAGCTGCCACAGACAAAGGATATTCCTTTACGTTGCTCAAATCCCTCAACCTTCATTCATTTTAATGATTAAAAAGCAGTTATGTCATAAGGACTGAGTTAGGGTTTTTAAACCAAAACCAAACTCACTGCCATCGAGTCAGATCTTAGGTTACTCTTTTTTTTTAAATGTTACTCTGTTAGTTATCCACAGCTAGGATGCGGCGATCTGCTCCCATAAAGATTTCAGCTTGGAAAACCTAGGGGGCAATTTTACTCTGTCCTAAGGAGCTCTGGTAGCATAGTGCCTAAGGCACTTGACTGCTCACCAGAAGGCTGGCAGTTCAAACCCACCAGCCATTCCTCGGAAGGAAGGTTGGGCAATCCTACTTCCGTAATGATACTGCTTCTTTAGTGATACTGCTTCGGAAATCCAAGGAGGGGTTGCTATGAGTCGGGGCCGACTCGACGGCAAACAACAACAACAACAACAACACAGGGTTCCTGTAAGGTGAAATTGACTTGATGGCACACAACAACAGCAGCAATATGCAAGGAAAGCTTGCTAAAGCACAAAAGGAAATGGACCTTATTTAATTAATTTGGGAAAATGAATTATATTCTTCCACCTGGCATATCATATTTAGTGCTCAAATCAGATGCTTCAAGAAAAAGTGTCAGAGAGATACTCTAGTCATTCTAACAGTAGGATGGAATTATTTATCACAGTCTCTTCAAGTTGTGGGGCTTCCCTCTGATGAGTTAACAGGAATTTGATCTCTAATCCAAAGGTATAAATCCAAACAGTTATCTCACCTACATAACTAGTGGAAATTCATCATCTTCTTCATTAGCTTGTGAGCACTCTGATTCCCAAAACTTCACACAGTGTCTGGCACAACTTTGCATGCTACATAGGCTGTTGTAGCTGTTATGTGCCATCCAGTTGGACCCGATTCATAGTGACCCTTCCTTGGGTTTCCGAGGTGGTTTCACTATGGAAGTAGATTGCCCAACCTTCCTTCCAAGGAGTAGCTGGTGGGTTTGAACCACCAGCCTTCTGGTTAGCAGTCAAGTGCCTTAGGCACTATGCTACCAGAGCGCCTGCTACACAGGTAGTCCCCGACTTATGACAGGGTTCCGTTCCAACTCTGTCGTCAGTCAGTTCTGATGTAAGTTGATTACTTTTTTTTTCAGTTTCATTTTTATTGCCTTTTATTTTCAGTATCTTTATAAAGTTACTCTGATGTTGAAGAAGAGTAGGACAACAATGGCATTGTGTCAGTTGTGGTATTAATTCTACTTGTGGAAGTTTCTGGATCATCTAGATTATCCCTGGGAATGGAGATGGCATTTCTAGTCAGTCAATCTGTGAGAGTTGTCTGTATGGTCTTTTCTTTATTTTTTCATGTATTTTCTGGTAATACCTCATTGCTTCCTGAATCTGCCTACTGACTTTAATAAAGTGATTGGCATTTGGGTCTATGTTTTCAAGCAACTGAAGCCCCTGAGTTAACCTAGAAAACTAAATCTATAAGGCAGTGTTTTGAATAGTAAATCATAAAGTTGAGCATCCGCAACTGAACATTAAAGAATGATCACATCAGCAAATTATGTGCTGCAACACTGTATATAGTACATATTAATAACAATAAGATGCAACCAAAAAAAAAAAGTGTCATAAATGTGGTTTGTCATTAACTACACTACATCTCAAGTCAGGGACTACCTGTACTTAATAACTGTTTGCTGGCTGGATAAGTAAATAAATGGTAAGGAAGACTCTTTGCTTAGAATAAGATTTCTTATGCTTCATGAGATATTTCATAATTATTTTTAGTAAGGCAAAATTTGGCTATAAGCTCTTTAGATTTTATATTTCTTATTAACATGTATTAAGTTGTACTGTATGCTAGATAATATTTTATATTTACTTGCTCTGTTCAATAAAATTATAAAGTATTGAAAAAGATATCTTGGAAGATGAGGGGTTGTCTTTCTCAGTCAGCATAAATGGATTAATTTATTGTTTACCTCTACTCTTACTCTTTGGTAAGCTTGCCTTTGCTAGGTAATAAGACTTCTTGGTGGGTAAGTAATTTGGCAAGTTAGCAGAAAAAAATAAAAGATTTTCTAAGCCTTGAAGAGTTCCTTGACGATCAATTCCAATTAAAGTATTTATGGGTGAGTCTATCTCTCTGAATCTGTCTGTTTGTCAGTACGCCTATCTGCCCTCTGTCTTACACGTTCATGTATGTGTACATACACACACACAGGTGAAGGTGGGAATAGGCCATCCTGTCTTAAATACTACTCCTTAAAAGAAATTTAATGATGTATACTGTAGATATAAACCAGGCCTCAATATGAGAACTGCAGGGTCAAATTTACAAGGTTATTTCAACAGGACTGAATATATGTGAATTCAGTTATGGTATTTTAAAAGTCAATGATAATGAGCACTTTCAGTTTTTATGCCTGAAAAGAAAACTGACGGGGGAAAATCTTGTATGAAAAGAAGTTACTGTTGGAATATAACACTAATATAGTATTATTTCTTGACTTTTCTACACTTTAAAATATTAGAAATATCATGATCATTATGGAATACAATGATTAAGAATTAATACAACTCATCAACATTTAGAATTATATCATCAGAAGGAAATACACAGAGAGATAGACTCCTAACACTGAATAAAGCTTTTCAGATGTGTTTTATACTTTACCCTATGTGACTGTGGAAGACTGCTTGCAAAATGGTTGTAATAAATCTCTGGTCCCTCTAGGCATGTCTCATTGCAATGATGCTGGCTCTCCTCCCATTAAGAGATGGAATCTATTTTTCCACCCCTTAAATCTAAGTTTTGCCATGTGATTTTGCTTTGGCCAATGGGATAGTTAGCAAACATGATACAAGCAGAAGCTTGAAAAATGCTTGCACACTAGGGCTTTCCTCTCTTTTTGCTGGGAACCCTACTGGGACCATGTGAACAAGCCTGGGCTGCTAGCCTGCAGGATGAGAGACTACAGTGAGCCCACAATGTCAAGTGGGGAGAGATGAACCATTCAGGATGGCCCCAGACTCAACAGCCCAACTCAGAATTTTGACAAAATAAATACTGTTTTAAGCCACATATATTGGGATGGTCTATTAGGCAACAAAAGCTAACTGATTCAGTAATCAACTTATAAATCTCATTATTTTATATCAACTCCAATTATTAAGAACACAAAGATGAGACATGGAAAGTTATTAAGAACGACTCATATCTATTTCTGTAAATAATTTTATATTTTGGAAAAAGTTACCTTTTGAACATGTAACTCAACATCTTGCTGTGTACAGCTTCCAATTTTCTGATTCACTTTTCTCACAACACCTTCTACATCCACAATGCTCTCTTTGTTGATGCTGTCAAAAAAAAAAAAAAAAATCCCACCTTGAATCATCTCATCAGTGGTGTCAGAATTCATTTGGTATTTCAGCAGCAAAGCTGAATATATTAAACTCTTCTTTAATCCAGTAAGCTGCTTGAGTTAAAGCCAGTCTATTTAACCTACTTACGATAAGACATTATGTAGCATACTTAGTGAGATTCCTTGAAGAGATGGTTTTAGATGCCATAATTTAGTTATCACTTATAAAATACTCTGGACATAAAAGGCAACAGTACCATTATTGAATTTTGAACACTAGGAGTCTTTCAATTATTTATTAAAGAACATTTCCCTCCCAATATTTCAGATTACTCAGATCAGCATTTCCTATAACTAGAAACACTAGCCTTAATAAACGCAATTACTGGTCTGTAACAGAACTAAATAACAAAAGAATGTTAAGTGAAAAGATTTCAAAGTAATAAGAGGACATGAGAGTGTTTTGCAATTAAACTCTTATTGCCTATGAGAATGTACCTATGTGTGGGTACATTTTGTCACTGGATTTCATGACAGACAGCTGCAGTATAGTGAATTACATGGTATGGCTTTTCTAGCTACAGTCATTTTATAACTCCCACTGGATTATTCTGAGGAGCTGCTTTTACACTCATGATTGTTAAAGTCATCCACTTGGGGTTATTTCTGTGGAGCGGCACAAAGTAATCTTCTGGGAAAGTTCGCTCTCAGGTGTGTAGAACTCTGATATTGGGATTGGTTAGCTTTGCCACTTTGCCAGGCTTAAAATGAGCCCTCCTAGAGGCAGAGGGGGAATCTCACTGCAGGCTGAAAGAGACGCCCAGCTGAGAGACGGCAGCAGTGGAACCAAGAGGCACAGGACAGAGCAGCATGCTTACCTGGCCCACAGAGGCCAGGCCAAGAGGCCAAGGCCCAGAAAGGCATGTCTAAGGCCATAGCAGAGGGGAGACCGTCCTGATCGAAGAACTATATCCTGAGCATGTTCCTGAACTTGAATCGTAGCCTGTTGCTTCATTAATAAACCCCATAATCTGTGAGTTCTGTGTGGCCACTGCAGCAAATTACTGAACCCAGCAGAGAGGTGGTGGGTGCTGCGGGAGGGATGGTTGGTGTCAACGTTGGTAAGAGGGCTAGAGGGTAGTGGCATGTCTGGCCTCATAGGAACAGGCCTTGGGCTGCTGATAGTGATTCTGTCTTTCTCTTGTATAGTTAGAGGAGGTCAAAAGATGCTGCCTCCTTGTCCCTTTAGCAACAGCCTAATGGATTGTATATTCTGAAGAACACCTATATGAAGCTTACTATATACATTAAGTATAAAATACATGCATCTCCTGGGCAGTATAAAGGCATAACAAACTTAAAATTTAAAAACAAGACACTCAAATTCTGAAATATAAACTTTATATAGTAGTTTATTAAACACAATTGATTATTTTTAGATTGCTAGTACATAGAGGATTGGCCAATCTACTTCCATAGTAATACTGCCTCAGAAACCCAAGGAGGGGTCACTATGAGTTGGATCCAACTCGACAGCAGTGAGTTTGGTTTTTGGTTTGAGTACATAACCAAAGGAGCACTGGTGGTGTAGTGGTTAAGGCATTTGGCTGCTAACCAAAAGATCAGTGTTCAAATCCACCAGCTGCTCTGCAGAAGAAAGGTGAGGCAATCTGCTCCTATAAAGATTGATAGTCTTAGAAACCCAATGGGGGTCACTATGAGTCATAATCAACTTGATGGTAGTGACCTTGGTTTTTTTTTTAATACATAAGCAAGGGGGAAAGTTATAATACAAAGTGGTGATTCCCATACAAAATAAACCAATTTTACTTTTGTGTATATTCTGGTACTGACAGATGTGTCACAATATATTTGGGGAAAAGAGTAAGATTTTACTTTCATAGGAAATATTCTGCTTGCTGTGATGAAAAATTGGGTCCTCAGAAGCACTGTGGTATTAGACAAGATTCTAGAAATTTGACAATGCTTATTTTACATAAGAGAACACCACAATCCATTTCAATGAACATTCACTCAGCTTTGGAAAAGGATCACATGGAATGATAGGTCAGGAAGGGTGAAGTAAGAAATTATTTTCACTTCAGTTTGCTACATTCATTAGAATTCTGTAATACATGTTACTACCCATTGTTAAAAAAAAAAAAAAAAATCAACAGTGTACACATCTTGCCACCCTCTGAAGACTCTTGCACCAAAGCCATTGTCTAATACCTCACTAAATTCTTGG